AGGCTCTATGGGTTGAAAATGTATAGTGTTTTCCCCTTGACTATTTTGAACTCATTTCTCTTGACAGTATACAATTTATTTGGTTTCTTCACTCTTGAAAATCAACAGGTTTGTTGTTTTTTTTTAATGTGTGCATTTTTTTAAAGTACATATCCCTTTGACAGTAATTTGGGGGGTATCCATGACTTAAAACCCATCAAGATTCATACTCCTGGGTTGGAGGAGAAACATACAAAACTGACCAGTGGAACCCTGATGGAAATAAGTGTTTTACAATGAGATTCCAAGCCAATGGGGAAGTGAAAATTTTTGCTTTGCTAAAAGGGTGTTGAAGCCAGCATAGGCAGACTTTGAGGAACAGTTCATTACTACTATAGAAGCCATATGTGGGTCATTCTTAAAGTCACAGAAATGTATATTTCTGCTTCCTATTGCTACTATAACAAAGGATCACAAGGTGGGAGGGAAGGATGGAAAGGGGAAACAAAAGAGGAGGCTACAATGCTTGATAAGAAATGTACTCACTATCTTGCCCATGTAATTGTAACCCCTCTGTACAGTATTTTCACAATAAAAAAAAAAAAAAAAGGATCACAAGCTTGGTAGCTTAAACAGCACAAATTTATTATCTTCTGATTCTGCAAGTTGGATCTCATGGTCTAAAAAGCCAACAAAGGTGACAAGGGCTCATTATTTTCTGGATCTTATGGTGAAATCCATTCCCTCACCCTTTCTGCTCTGCCTTTCTTGCTTATGGCCTCCATCCATCTTCAAAGCCAGTAATGATGGGCAGAATTCTTCTACCACTCTTCTGGCTCTTGCTTCCCACTTACCTGTGAAAGAATTCTTATGCTGACATTGCTATCACATAGTTAATCCAGAATAATCTTTCTATTTTCTGGTCAGCTTCATGGTAGTCTTAATTAAACCTGTTACCCTAATCATAGGTTCTGAGGATTAGCATATGGACATGGGAACATTATTTCATATGTAAAATGAAGGTGGCACTGTATTATAGTCTATTGAGATAACAGCCACTGGAAATATTTGCATTCTTCCTTTCATTTCTTTTTTTGTTTGTTGGTTGGTTGGTTGGTTATGGGGCCTGAACTCTGGACTTAGGCGCTGTCCCTCAGCTCTTCAGCTCAAGGCTAGTGCCTAGTGCCCTACCATTTGAGCCATAGTGCTACTTCCACCTTTTTCTGCTCATGTCGTGCCGAGGAATCAAACTCAGGGCCTCATGCATGCAAAGCAAGCACTCTACCACTGAGCCTCCTTCCCAGCCCTTTCTTTGCATTCTTACACCAGCCTGTTTAGGCTACTACAGAAATAGAATACCATAGACTGATATAGCTGCTAAACACCTTCTAAAGGCTGAGAGATACAAGAAAAAAATGCCAGAGATCTGTTTGAGGGTTGGTTTCTGAGTATCATCCTCACATAGCAGGAAGGTAATAGCTGGCTTGCTGACATATCAATCATAAGGACTGTCCTATGACTTAGGTACATCCTCCTAATACCATCATATTATGGGTTAAGATTTCAATATAGAAATCTGAAGGGCACACAAGGTTTCAAGATTGTATCAGTGAAGATGTTTCTCATGGCTTAAAAGAACTTGGGTTGTTGAAGTAGCTCAGGACACACATTCAGTGATGAAATTCAAATCCAGGGGCAGAACTATCACTGGTTGGCATATGGTTGAACTACAGTTGTCAATATATAAGCTATTTTGGCTGGAAATTGGATGTGAATTTGTAGCTTAGTCAGGTAATAATTCTTATTACGGGTATGTGCATGGCCGATTTATTCCAGGCTCTTATCTGAATTGCGAAACATCTGATTTCTTTAATGAAGACCTTCAGAGGTAGGTCACATTATATATATTTCATTGTCAAATTTACTTGGGAGATGTCATCCACTCTAGCTGTGATGGTAAATCCCATTGTTCTTGCTCAGAATTGTATTCTGTATTATAGATGTTATGCAGCTTAAGCTGCTTTTCGTAGAGATTTCTGTTTCAGTCATTTAATGTTTCATTGTACTTAAGTGACCCTTAGGTTAATAGTGCAGAACACCACAAATAGGTAGGTAGGCTATAAAGAAGCATTTCTTACCTATAGCTGCCTTTCTGATGTTGTGACAGGATAGTGAAACATAGGATTTAATGTCCTTATTTCCCTGGGGTCCCTTACAGAGTTGAATGTTCTGAGACCTCAGCTTTAGCTGACTGCTTGTTGTCTCTAGCCACGACCTTACTTCAGATCTGCTGGTGGATTTAATCCTGGTGACTTTATAAATGAATAGACAAGCATTTTTTTAATATTGGAAAATTGAACAGGCTTCACTATTTGATATAAGCAATATAGTTAGGAATTCAGGGACCTTTGTTAAAAAGAAATATATAAACTGTCTTGAAAGAGGGAATTTAGTTAGCAAGTAGCATATGAATAGAACACAGCAAAACATACTATGTATTATACCTTAAGACTAAAAGCAAGGGCAGAATAAGAGGGTGATAGGATAGGGAGAGACAGGGAGGCAAGTCAGGCAGAGAGATAAAATAGGCTGTATGCTGGTGTAAAATCAGTGGATATCCTTCTTGCCTGCTTTTATAATCAAAATTTTAAATGGGGATGTTTCAGATACTTGTCTCCTTGAAGACAAACCCAGCTGGAGGTGAGGGTGTGGCATCATTTTCTTGATTAATCTTTCAAACAGAAAAGCTTCTGTTTATGTAGGCTGGAACAGTCAGTTAACCTGTCACTCATTCCCCAGTGGAATTATTTGGGGATTAATTTAGCCTTTCCCATAGACACATTAAACCTTCCCACCCCTCTCTCTACCTCCCTTTTTAGAAAAAATCGACTATCTTTTCTGAGTTACTCATCAGTTCAAATTTTTTGGGTTTTTATTAATGAGTATAAGTTTAAAAAAAAAAAAAAAAGGGTTTCTTATAGCCAGGTAACAGTGGCTCATGCCTATCATCCTAGCTACTCAAGAGGCTGAGATCTGAGGATCATGCCAGTCTGGGCAGAAAAGTCCATGAGACTTTTATCTCCAATAAATTACTCAGGAAAAGTCAGAAATGGAGCTGTGCTCAAGTGGCAGAGCACTATCCTTGAGCACAAAGAAACTCAGGGGACAGCACCCAGGTCCTGAGTTCAAGCCCCAAGACCAACACCAAAAAACAGTTTTCTCATGAAAACAAGAGAAAAGGAGAGTGATGGAAAGGGTAACTGATCAAGAAGGAGTAACATGGACATGTTAAATTGTAACCTTCTTGTTACTGCCATTTGGAGATAATAAATTGTTTAAATAGGAATACAGGAGGACTCATTGCAACAATGAGATGTACAAGACTTTATGTCAAAAAACCAACTTTACAACTTTGGTGCGAGGGGGGGGGGGAGATGGGAAGGGGAAACAAAGGAGGAGGCAACAATGCTTGATAAGAAATGTACTCATTACTTGTTCATGTAATTGTAACCCCTCTGTACGGTATTTTCACAATAAAAAAAAATAAACTTATGGCAAGTAATTTTTGAATGATTTGGCATTGGATTAATTTTAGCTACTCTTTTTAAATTTGAATTTTTTATTGTTTTTATAAAGGTGATGTATAGAGGAGTTGCAGTTATTGTTTTTTTTTTGTTTTTTTTTTTGGTCCCGTCGTGGGGCCTGAACTCTGGGCCTAGGCGCTGTCCCTCAGCTCTTCAGCTCAAGGCTAGCGCTCTACCACTTGAGCCACAGCGCCACTTCCGGCTTTTTTCTTTTTGCTTATGTGGTGCTGAGGAATGGAACCCAGGGCCTCAGGCATGCAAGGCAAGTGCTCTACCACTGAGCCACCTTCCCAGCCCCGAGGAGTTGCAGTTATGTAAGGCAGGTAATAAGTACATTTCTTTTTGAACAATGTCACCCATTCCTTCGCTCTCTAGTTCATTTTCAACATAGTGTCTAGTAAGGACCACTTCTGCATTTGTTCACCCTTTATCCCTCCATTTCTATACCCCCACTTATCCTCCCAAATACAAATAAATGAACAAACGGGACAGAAAACAAACAGCAACAAAGGGGAAAAAAACTGCTTGTTCCATTTCCTGGAGTTTATTTTGATAAATCTTTATATGATCAGATGCACATAGATTGCGCCTTTGTGTTCCTCTCCTAAGAGTATCCTTCGGTCTCAGTGTGTGTGAATGCCTAGAGTCCTGTATAATTTTATCACATCCCAGTGTGTTTTAGGTCTAGCTTCTGCATATAAGAGAAAAGCTGCACCCTTTGTCTCTCTGAGCGTGTTTAGCCACTCTTTTTAGGATTCAAAGCTGATTTGCCAAAAAACCTGAACTCTAAGACTCTTGAGAAATTAGTGGTAGAGGAAGAAGCTAAATAAAGCAGGAAAGAGACCTCATATGGGGGGGTAAGATAACAGCTTCTTCAGGGCCTTTAGCCTAAAAATTATATTTGGGGTTAGAAACTGGATTTACTCTTAATTTGGAGACTTGACTGTGAAATGTGATGTACAGACATTGGTTTGGAACATGATTCTAATAAAGCCATTGTTTAAAGAGTTTTTTGGGACATTGATGAAACTTGCACATGGTCTGCATCAAAGCCTGGGATTTGCACCCATGAAAAAGTGGACAAATGAAGCAAATTCGACAAATTTTGGGGAATTCATGAATCTGGGCAATAGGTATATCTGGTTCATTCTGTAGTCCTGTGCATTTGAGAGAGTGAGACATTTCTGACTGACTTAAGCGTTTACCTGCTCACCTTGAACCCATGGTTCAGTTGTACCTTCCATCACATATGGTCACACTTTAATATTCTGTTAAGGAACACATCAAAGAGCCACATACCATTCTGAGCCTGTCATCATCTTATCTGCAGCTGTAGATTCTGGACTGAAAACTAAAGGGTTGACCTTCAGAGGATGGACCAGGTGGCTTAGAAAAGAAAAAGAAACTTTTGCTTTATTAATTCTTTTTTTTTTGTAGGACCTTGATAAGGCCTCAGACCTTCTATGATGGGAGTCATTCCTGTGCAAGAGGAGTGTGTCATATTCCAATGGCTGAGCCATTTTGCCCCAAAACAAGAGAGGTTTGTAGTCTTTCTTGAAGATGTATCAAAATAGAGCATAAGAGCTTGAGGTGTCCTCTGCAGTTATATCAGTTGGTTGAACAGGTGGGCCCTTTTTCTCCCTCAAGTGTGCTTATTAATACAAGATTTTTCGTTATGTCAAAAAGAAACTTTACAACTTTGGGAGGGGGGAGGATTGGGGGGGTGGGGGAGGATGGGAAGGGGAAACAAGGGAGGAGGCTACAATGCTTGATAAGAAATGTACTCACTATCTTGCCCATGTAATTGTAACCCCTCTGTACAGTATTTTCACAGTAAAAAAAAAAAAGATTTTATAAAGAGTGTTTTCCCTTTGTTAATAATGCTGCTACTCAGTCATTGTTATCTGAAGCACTCAGAGTTGTGACCTACTTTTCTTTTTTAGTACACTTCAAGTTTGTCAGGATACCTTTTAAATATTTATAGGGTAACATATTAGTCATGAGTATATAGTATGAAATTAAATTACTTAGGGTCAAGTTTGTCCTATGAAAGGTAAAACTTTACAAGTGTCTTGACCTGTGCCTGTCAATACAGAACACCCTATGGTTGGTGAATCACATTACTATGGATAATGTAACAATGGATCAGTTTCGTTTTTTTGCCAGTTTGAGTGTGCTCATTTGCTCATTATCTTGCCTCTTCTCCAACATTGTAGTAAACAATGCAGCAACACCAAGGCTAGTCATGATACAAAGCAAAGAACCTAAGTTGTAGTTCTCAAAAAGTAAAAAATGTCTGTTGGAACTCTTATGTCATTGCCTGATCCACATGTGCTATTCTTACAGTCTTAGGCTTGAAAGTCAAGCACAATTCAAAAGACCGAACTGTTGCCAGAACTGCTTAGTAAAATATGTCTTTCAAATTCACTTAGTGAATATAACACTTGTTCAGGTGGTTTTAACACCGGCATGTAGAAAGTACATGATTTCTTTTAGCTTTTTATGTTCAGCCCTAGGTAGTTATGAGAAACCAGTTTCTGTAGAGAACAGCAAGGATATCTGAACTTTACTCTGATCTCAGACACAAATCCAGATTCTTAAATGGGACTTGTGGAAGGAAGGTATTTCAGTTATACTGTTGCAAATTGATTCTTTATGAGTTGTATGAAAGGTACACTTTTTTAACCTTAAAAAATAGCAGATTAAGTTTATATGTGTATATATAATATAGATAATTTCATATCATTGAATATATATGTCTCTAGATAATTTCATTTCATGCTACTACTAATCTTACTCTCAAATATAGCACTGACCAAAAGACATTTGCTGCTCAGGGTAAGATGAAGTAGGAATAAAATTCTTGTCTATGTGAATATAGAGGCCTCTTAGAAAAATAGGCTAAGAGAGGATATGCATGTCAGCGTGAAATCTGAGGTTCGTTGCCAAGAAGAAACCAGGGGCTTGGAGAACTAGGAGTTGGCTGGGAATAAGGAAGCACCACTGACCTGCATAAAATGCATATCAATGTGGCACTGTGGTGTTAGTTTCCAATATAATTTAACCCCCCTCAAATCAAACTGATTCAGCTAGTATTAGTCAAACCAAGAACTGAGTGAATGCTGGGGAGGGCAGTTGAGAAAATGGCAAAAATAAGTCGATAGAGCATTATTTTGTTTTTCTTCCTTATGAAAGAGCTTTTAAACTATCTTAGAAAGTGTAATCAATTTATTAACTATTGTGGAAATGGCACCACTTGTAGTCATCTCGGGAGATAATCTGCAAATTCTGACACATTAAGTATATTTAACTTGGTAACCTCATGTTGCTAGTCCCCCTATGAGAATTCTAATAGCTTCAGCAAGACAAAGACATGAAGTCATCTTACCTCAGAACTTAAATTGGACCCAATAGGTTTTTTTTTTTTTCTGCTGCCTTAACATGGTGTTATCAGCCCATATGTTTCAACCCATATCAGTAAGTCTCCTTTTTTCCTTTCCTGTAATCAGGGTACTTAGCTCTTAGGGTAATGGTGAGGACCTAGGTAGGTAGGTAGGTAGGTAGGTAGGTAGGTAGGTAGGTAGGTAGGTATATGAAACCACTGTGAAGTTTAGCCAGGATATACAGATGGATTGAAAGACACTTGAAGGCAAGATAAGTACAATATATTTTGATATCTTCATTATCCACTGCTAAATCTTTTGACTTTGAGTTATTCCATTTTAGATATGTAATGTCCCAAGGCCTTTTGCCTGTTATTTGGAAAAGATTTAGGAGCTTCGGGTACCAATCATCATTAAAGGACTACATTAGCATTTAAATAGTGTTTACAATGTTCCCAACACAATTTTGTGTTACTGTGTGCCTTATTTAATCCTTATAATATCTGAATTATACAATATTATTACAGACAAAAAAGATAAAGCATAAAGACGTTAAGTACTTTCAATGGTGTTTTAGTGGTTAATAGTTACTAATTTGATTTAAAAATTTTGAAAGCTGGGGGCATGGTGATATGCATCTATAATCCCAGCTATGTGGGAGGAAGAGATAGGAAGATCAAGATCTTAGTCCCATCCAGGCAAAAACAGAGACTCCATCTGGAAAATAAACTATAAAGCCAAAAGGACTGAAGATATGGCTTAGGTGATAGAGCACTTGCCTAGCAAATGGGAGGCCTTAAGTTCAAACCTCAGTACTCCAAAAAAACACCACCACCACCTCACACACAAAGGGAATGTTAAAGCTCAGGCTAAGACAGTAGGAAAAATAACTGATAATTTGAAGATAACTGATAATTTGAAAACTCTGGACAAAACAATGAAAGTTTTAATAGTTCTAAAATACTTGTTCAGAGAATAAAAGAAAGCCCCAAGGTAAATTTCTTGGACAGAAGAAAGTCAGTATAGCCCCCTTCTCGCTTCACTATAGATTCTGGGAATTGCAACAGGCAAAAGAGAAATCATTTTCTACCCCAAAACAAAGATTTTTCTAAAAGGCCACAGATTCTGTATGAAAGAGAAGTGAATGCTAATTTTTCAAGAGCTCAGGAAGTAGAATTCAGCACAGCTGTTGGGGGCTGGTGGGGAGGAGGGAATACAAGAGGCACCTTAGGGGAGCCTCAGAGATCAAGAGCTAGGAATCAAGTCTGGATTCATAGCCTACATTAGTTTCCTGAAGTTGTTCAAAAGAGATGGCATTAAAGCACATAAGGGAACATGTGGAGTACAGAGAAAGCCCCGTGTTGCCCTGGTAGCTATGAACTATGTGTTCAGGGGGCTGGGAGAACTGTGTAAATGAGTATAGAGTGAGAGCATATTTTAAGTAATTAACTTGCTAAACATCATGGGGAAATAAAATCATAGCTTGACTGTATGTTTTCAGTTTGTTCTTCTTTATCTAGGTCCTCATAGAGACTGCTAAGAAGCTAGGACTTCGATGCCACTCAAAGGGGACAATGGTCACAATCGAGGGGCCTCGTTTTAGCTCTCGTGCAGAAAGCTTCATGTTCCGCACCTGGGGGGCAGATGTCATCAATATGACCACAGTTCCAGAGGTGGTTCTTGCTAAGGAGGCTGGGATTTGCTATGCAAGCATCGCCATGGCGACAGATTACGATTGCTGGAAGGAGCATGAAGAAGCAGTAGGTGGAATTTTCTTCTCAACATGTGTGGTGTGGGTTTCTAAGTTTTAATGAGCCATTAAGGGTACATCTTTATTCCTTCTGTATTACTTCCAGAAAGTGTCTCTCTCTCTACAAAGTTTTAAAAGTATTAGGTATTAGCAGATATTTTGTAGAGGTCTCACTGGAAATTATGAACAAAGATCCTGGGCGCTGGGCGCTGTCCCTCAGCTCTTCAGCTCAAGGCGAGCGCTCTACCACTTGAGCTACAGCGCCACTTCCGGTTTTCTGGTGGTTTATTGGAGACAGGAGTCTCACGGTCTCTCCTGCCCGGGCTGGCTTTGAACCACGATCCTCAGATCTCAGCCTCCTAAGTAGCTAGGATTACAGGCGTGAGCCACCAGCGCCCGGCTAACAAAGATCCTTATGGCAAAAGCAGGGGAACTCATCCAAGGATCGACAGTTAAAATTACGTTGTAGACATGTGGCTATTAAGAATCATGTTGAGAGTTAGCCTTACTTTAAGGATAAAGGTGTATTTTGACTGTAATTTCCTTGAGCAGTGCTACATTTATTACATTTACTTTCAGGGGGAAAAAGATTCTGTCTCTATCCATCTATTAAACCTACCACTGCTGGATGCTGTGTAAATAGATAAGTCCTTCTAGGAAGAAAGCAGAAATTAGCAAAATAAGAAAACTAAAGGTTAGGAAGAAACAATGTTGTGAGATGAAGAAGTACTATCCAGATGACTAGACCAAGATTGGAAGTCTGAGAACCCTTCCTGGCTTAAGTGTGTTGAGAAAGGACGTGATTGGGAAACAGAGAGAGGGAGAAGGATGAGCTAGCTACAGCAGGGCCTACAGACTGGTAGGGATTTAATTTGGCTATGGGGGTGAGGAGGTATTAGGCAGGGGAAACAAGATCTAGCTAGACTTTGAGGATGCTGAACACTGAAATTAAGCTTTCAAAACAAACATTTTTACTGTAGAAAACCTTAAACATCTATGAAACCCAACTGCACAGTTACCAACTATGGCTAATCTCCTGTTTTAGATAGTCCCCTATATAACTTCTTCCCCCACCCCTTCACCCCCATTCTCATTTTGAAATTAAAAGTCTTCTTTCAACTTAAAGAAAAATAACCGCAACACCATCATTGTACTGAAACAGTATTAATTTCTTAATATAATCAAATGCTGAGATTATTCTCATTTTCCTTCTGATCTTAAAAAGTTTGGTCAAATTATGATCCCCTACTATCCACATGTTGTATATTTATGGTATGCTTCTTAAAATTCTTCTTAATCTAATATTCCCTCTTTTTTCAAAACTATAGTGAATGAATTTTGAAGCAAGAAGTGTAGATGCTGCCTAACTATATTCTTGGTGCTGGTGGTTTCACAGAAAACAAGGCAAGGTATTCTTGCCATATCTGTTCATGTGTGCAGTGTTTGGGGACACAGGTGAAACTAGATTCTTTCTTCCTAGTGAGTTCTTTATTTTGACTCCTCATTATGATATGCTGTTGCTAAGTAGTAATATACCTTTTTATGTAAGATATGTGAAAATCCTAACTTAAATTATACCATGATGTTTGGTTTGGCAACTTTGTAATTCATGGGACAATTCAGCCTCATGACTTTTGTGAAGCTGCTTCCAATTAATTAATTTTAGGGGGGAAAAAAAGAAAAGCTCCAGCTTGGCTGGATTGATTTTTGCTTGGAGTTTTCTGTCAGTCTTAACACATATGCCTCCCTTGCAGAAGGTTGAAAAGCACCCAGAGATACTTATTCAAAAACAGAGAAACTAAACTCTGTCTAAGCGTTTAGTCATGAAGACAAACTTGGTTAATTCCACAGAGGAGGCACATACACAGAGATGACATCAACTCAGCCAGTCATGTGGCATTGGGCTTTAAACAAATATGTGACCTGGCATGGCAAAGAAGCATCTAGAGTTGCCTAAACCTGCCCTTAATTCTAATTTCTCCATGACTACCAATACTAGGGTAGTTTGACGTGTTTGATGTGTTGCCTTTCTGCGACATAAAACCAGATTTGAGTTTGAGGGATGGAGTTTCTTTTTTAAAAAAATTTTATTGTTGAGGTGATACTCAGAGGGTTACAGTTACATAAGTAAGGTAGTGATTACATTTCTTGTCTAACTTGGGGGTATGGTTTCTTTAGTTATAATTTTGACCTTGCAGAATTACTAGGAGAATAAATCCATTAGTATATGTACAACAGGAAGGTGGTTGTCAGATGGTAACCACAAGGGAATTGGGAAGGGGGAGTATTGTCAGAAAAGTTTGCAAAGATTATAACTTATGAGGTTTGAGTTGACCTTGAATAGAGGGTTAGATTTTTTCCTGTGAGTCACAGGGTCAGTAGGAAGGGCATTTTGGGTGGAGCCCAAGAGCAGAAACAAAGGCAAAAGAAGTCAGAATCAGTGCAGATGTATCAGTCACAGGAAAAGCTCATAGAAAAAGTAAGAGTAAGGTAAAGCTCTTGGCCACTTCATGTCCCTGCATTCTATGACTCAGCTAAAGCCAGGCCTTATCTTGTATTTGGCAAGTCCCCAGCTGGCCACTGTTTTGTGTTACACAGTAGTGGAAACTTCCTCACTCATGCTGCTCTTACCTTTTTTCTAAGTACATCAATTATTCCATCAGTTTATGACCAGTCACATTTCATCTATGATTTTAATCCAGATACATTTCAGAAAGTATCAAACATAATCACATTGTAATTTATGTTGTTTTTTTCTAGTAACATTTCTATAAAGAAATCATAGTTCTGGGCATGATAACACATGCCTAAAATTCCAGCACATGGGAGACAGAGATAGGAATATTATGAGGTCCCGGCCAACTTGTACTACAAGAGAGCTTTCTCAACAAAATGGAGGGGAAAAGAGAGGAAGGAAGCCCTTGTCCTGTTGAGTTTCTCATAGTTTAAGTTTGCTGATTACTAAAATCTAACAATAGTTTAACAGACTTCTTTATTTTCCATGTTTTCTGTAAATTGGTAGAGATTTGATCAAACTCAAGAATGTAAATGGTGCTTTGTTATATTGTCTGGAAGCACATATTGACTGGGTTCATGTGTGGGTGTGTATATGTGTCAGTCCTGGGGCCTGAACTTGGCACCCAGACTGTGTCCCTGAGCATTTTTGCTTCAGGCTAGCATTCTACCAACTTGAACCATAGCTCTACTTCCTGTGTTTTGGTGGTTAATTGAATATAGGAGTCTCATGGACTTTCCTGCTTAGGCTGGCTTCAAACCACAATCCTCAAATCTCAACCTCTTAAGTAGGATTATAGGTGTAAGCCACCACCACCTGGCTTAAGTAGGGTTGTTTTTGTTTGTTTGACTGGTTAGTTTAGTTTTCTTTGTTAGTTTGTGACATTAACAGCCAATCTATTAATTCATTAGTACTTAGACTTAAAATGGAGGCTAGATCAGCACAAGTGGCTCATGCCTATTGACCTAGCTATTCAGATGCCTGAGATCTGAAGATAATAGTTCAGAGCCAGCTGGAGCAGGAAAGTGCATGAGACACTTACCTCCAAATTAGCCACCAAAAAGCCAAAAGTGGAGCTGGAGTTTCAAGTGGTAGGTCACCTCATCGAGCAAAAACGCTAAGGAACAGCATCCAAGTAAGCCCTAGTACCAGCAAGCATGTGTGCACACATACACACACATACCCCTTCTGTTTGGTTATCTAATACAGCAACCCTTTTAAGACTAGAAAATATTCTACTGTGGACAGGGAGAACAGCCTTATTTTAAAACTCTGTTAATCTAAGGTAATTTTTCAGATATCCTGTTGAGAGCTTTCAGTGCTTTTCAGAAATACCGATGGGTTTCTCCCCAGAACTGAAACTATTGTGATAAGTGAAGTGTCTGGGCTCCAGGGCTTGAGTTTGTATTAAATGGGTTTGGCTTAGGTTTGTGTTGTCCATTCAGGCTGCTGTCACAGCAGGTAACTATCACAGGTAAATACCTAGGCTAAACTTCTAGACACACACAAAAAAAGGCCAGTCTTCACCATTTTAGAGTTTGAGGAGTCCCAGCTGATTCGATGTACAGGGAAACTTACTTCCTCCTAGACATCTCCACACTGAACCTCACATGGTTAAAGAGTGAAGGAATACTCTGTAACCTCTGTCCCAATTCATGGAACCTCTCCTTTACCACCTGATCACCTCTCAAATGTCCTAATACTCTTTCCTGAGGATTAGGTTTCAACACAAACATGTGGGAGGGACACAAACATGCACACCATAGCAAGGCTGGAATGCAGGAAAATGTTCTGCAGAAAGCAATGGACTTTTAAATTCTAATGAAATCCTATGTTGTTGTTTTTCCAGGTTTCAGTGGACCGTGTTTTAAAGACCCTGAAGGAAAATGCCAATAAAGCTAAAAGTTTACTGCTTACTACCATACCTCAGATAGGGTCTATGGAATGGTCAGAAACTCTCCATAACCTGAAGGTAAGTGTCCTTCCACATCTGTAAGCAGACTCTCCTGTAGATCCTTAGCTCCTTTTTTCTCTTACTTGAATTTCACATTTGGTCCATCTCTTCATGTTTTTTTATGCAAACTTGGATTTATCTTCAGTGAGTTTCATGCCTTTACTACTGTACCAGCCCTTGTGAAGCTGTACAATCACTTTCTGGCTAAGAGCTTTGGAGACTGAGGTCAGGAGAGTTTCCTTATCTAGTGTCACACATGCTTCATATTGTCCTAGAGTGTATTCTTAAGATCAAAACACATGATGTCATGTGGATGTCTTAATTAACCACATTAGGTAAGAGTTGCCTCAAATTTTTTGAGTTTGTGTATTTATCCTGGTATCTAAAGAGGCTCTTTCTTGAGATGTCCTAGAGCATATCTATACTCTTGGGTTTTATGACAGAAGCTGAGGAAAAATATGAAAGATTGATGGGCACCCTCCCAACCTATGCCATCTAGGAGCCCAGGAACTGGAGCCAGGAGTTTTGTGTGATAAGAGTGGTTTGTAATAATCGCTGATTTACACAGTGTGAGTGCTCTATCTAGCAAAGCTGGTTTGAAACTACCAACCCAGAGCCAATGAGAAGTTAGGAAGTGGCACGCACAAGCTGGTACAAGCAGACTCCAACACATCGCTGCAACATCAGTGACTCAGCATCTAAGACTGGAAACGTTGGGGAGACCAAAAATCCCTTTACTACTAGAAAACATGTCTCTTGGTTTCAATCATGTATATATCTATAGTAAACAAATGGTATTAATGAAAATGGCTTCCAATGAATACATGATACTCTCTTCTTCGCCTTTAAATGTGTTATAAGTGTTCAGACGTAGGAAGCCATTTTTTTTTAACCTATGAAGAACAGATGGGGGGGGGGGGGGATAGAGCCACTTGCCTAGCAAGCACAAGGCCCTGAGTTCAGACCCTAGTACCATTGTAATTTTAAGAAAAAGAGACAAAAAATATATTCTACAAATTAGTGAATTTGGTTTAGATGTTTAGTTTAGGCCAGATATCAGTAGCTGCTCTTGCTTGTAATCCTAGCTTTTCAGGAGACTGAGACTTGGAGGATCATGGTTCAAAGCCAGCCTGGCTAGAAAGTCTGAAAGATTTGTTTTCCAGTGGTAGAGTGCCATTCATGAGCAAGAAAGCCAAACAGATCACAAGGCCTAAAAATTAAGTCATAACTTGATATTGGAAAAATAAAATAAAGAGAATGAAAAGCCTCAGTTCAGACCCTGGTAGCAGCAAACAAAAAGGAAGTAGAGGGGCTGGGAAGGTGGCCCAGTGGTAAAACCCTTCAGACCTTTAGGAGGAAATGTCTTCAGATACAAATGAAGATGACTATAAATGGCAACTATTAGTATATAGAGGAGGCAGCGTGGAGCCAGTGACGCCAGGAATAATTGAGCTCCTAATTCACAATTCCCCTTGAGCTGTAGGCTCCCAAGCCTTTCTGCAGCCAGAAATGGTAGAAACCAACCTCAGAAAAGGCCAACCAAGGACCTCCTGCCCTGAGACCCTCTGAAGAGAAGGCTGGGAAGGAAAAGAAGGCCTGTAACTCCACTCTAGGAATCAGATGGGATCTCACCCTACTCACATCTAAAGATAGGAGGCCTCTTTTGAGCCTTAGTTTAGACCAGTCACCAGCACATTGGTGGGTGAGGCACCAGATGGTGTCTGACTCAGCCCAGATGTGTTCCAGCAAGAGGCACAGACTACAGTCTGCCCTCAGCCAAGCCCAACCTTGTTAAAATTGTCATAGCTCAGGTGGTGTGAAAAATAAAAATGCTCAGGACTCTCCCCTTGGAAACGTAAATGTACTTCCAAAGAATCCCTAGAGGGTGAGAGGAAAGATTTCAAAGTTTGTCAGATACAGCACTGCCTGGGCAGGGACAATAGGAGGCCTGGAACAGTATAGGGGAAGGCTGGACAAGGCCCTGGGTAGGCAATGCCTTCTTCAAGGCCCATGCAACCTGGGTCTAGAACATTGTATCTCCTTAGTGATAAGAGGTAGATGCTGCATCCATCTTCATTTCTCAGGTGGGGAGACTGAGGCACAGAGGGATAGGGAAGAAGGCTGAACATAAGCAGAGCCACTCACTCATATGATCCCCTGGAGTCTACAGAAGGCAGTGTCTCCTGAGACCTGCAGGAGAGAGCAGTCTCCCATCATGGGCAGGCCAGAGAGGTTTCAGATGGTTGTTTTGTTGTCTTGTTCACTCTTCTTTCTTCCTTTCCTTTCATGAAAAATTTATCCAAAACCCATTATGTCAGACTAAACAAGGTTATTGAGGCTGATGGGGTCCATGTTCTCCCAGTCTAATGAAAAGATAATATATTCTGGAGCCAGGCTGGACAATGGTAGCAAGCTGAAGCTCCCCAGTAAATTCTGAGATTAGGAAGGTGAGAACTGCTAGTCTGTAGTGCATGTGTGCCAGCATGTTTGCAAGTTGGATGTGATGCATGTTTTCAGTTTTGGGTGAGTTTATCAAGTTGTAATCCCATTGTAAGTCAAGGAGAATCTAGAGATACAGATTAGGTGATAGAGTAGGTGATAGAATCTCTGGTTTAGTGGATCTGCGTTCATGTATTTCTTAGTGCCATCCATTGAGGCTTTCCAGGAGCAATGACACTCTGAAAAGCATGCCTTAACCCAGATCTTCTAAATGTGCTTGTTCACTAAAATGACCTGGGGCTTCCTCAAAAAATAAACAGTCCCTGCACTTGGCAGGACAGAAGATGAACCTAGGATAACTTATTTCCCAAAAAGCACCATGGGACATATCAAAAGGCCACACATGCCAATCTAAAGAGAGTCCCCACCTAAAAATAAAGTCCTCACTCTAATCAACAAAAACAAAATCTGAATGGGTTTTGTTGTTTTAAATACGTTCTAACAAGCAATCCAGATAATTAGCATGCCCACCTGCAGCACTTACCATCTCTGCCTGCTTTCTTCCTTTCAGAACATGGCCCAGTTTTCTGTTTTATTACCAAGACATTAAAAGAAAGCATGACTGCCCCAGAAAAGAAGACTTTCTGCTACTAGTCATATTGAGAGTTTTACTTGAAGAACAGGGGAAAGACATGCCCCTGCCTATATCAGAAGAAGAATGTGGTAAGAAAGACAAGACATTGAATGTATTACAGACTCTGCTGAAAAGACTGACACTCATTCAGGATGCAGAAGAGAAGCAAATGACCAATGAACAGGGAAAACTTTACATTTTAGGGAAAAACCAAAGATCCCACTTCACCTCCCCCCCCCCCCCATTAAATTTGCAACAAAAAATTAGGGACAATATCCAGTGTTCTTTGTTGCCAGAGAATATGAGAAAGAAAATAGGGCTCAGGCTGCTTGTTTTGATATGATCATAAGTTGGTACAGTCTTCTTGGAGGTCAGTTTATCAAAATACATCAGAAGCTTGACAGTACTTATGCACTTTGTTGGGTATTTCTAGGAATTCCTCTAAAAATTATCAGATACATGCGAAGAACTTTGTATAAAGAAGGATGTTAAATAGTGTTGCTTCTAATAGCAGATACTCAATAATCTGAATATCCAACAGTTGTAGGTAAGTTGAGGTTTAGTTATAATTATGCTGTGAAACAATCAACTGAAGATCATATTTTCACATAGTAATGTCCTAAGGAAATTGTTCTAAAGTAGGAAATTTTTTTAAAAAGTAACAAATTTTACAGTACTAGTTTTATCTTTAAAATGCTGTGTTGAAGCCAGTAGCTCAGCCTGTAATCCTAGCTACTCAGGAGGCTGAAATCTGAGGATCATGGTTGAAAGCCAGCCCAGGCAGGAAAGCCCGAGAGATTCTTATCTCCAATAAACCACTCAGAAAACAGGAAGTGGCACTGTGGCTCAAGTGGTAGAGTGCTAGTCTTGACCTGAAGAGCTCAGGGGCAGCGCCCAGGCCCAGAGTTCAAGCCTCACGACCAACAACAACAAAAATACTGTATTGATGTATAAAAAGACTTGAAGGAAAAATATATAATCTTTCATTATATCTGGAGACCATGTACTGGATATTTTTTCTTTTATTTTTAATTATATTTTTCTATGGTGAGTATAATCAAGTAATGAAGTTGTAAAAATTAAAATGGGAGCTTGGCACTAGTGGCTCAGACCTATAACACTGGCTACTCAGGAGGTGGTGATCTAAGGATTGTGGTTGAAAACCATCCCAGGCTGGAAAGTCCATGAGACTCATCCTCAGTTAACCAGCAAAAAGCCAGGAGGGGAACTATGGCTCAAGTGCTAGAGTACCAGCCTTGAGTGAAAAAGCTAAGGCACAGTGTCAAGATCCTAAGTTTAAGACCCAGTACTGGCACAGGAAAAAAATAATTTAAAAATGGACTTAGAAAAATTAAGTTCTTAAAAACAGTTTTTGTTAATGAAGCAAGAGTCAAATAGCAGTCTAAACAGTAGTGTTGTTTAAGGGATTTACATAATTTACTTGATCATTGGTAACTTTGCAGTCAGATCAGTACTTGGGTTTACAACTGTGTCCTGAGAAAAGCCATGTGTTTTAATACTGAGGTAGTTGAAAGTCAAGCATGTCCGATGTTTTTAAAACTAATACTTGTTTCTACTCCATTTATGAGTTATTTTACATGAGTTGGTGTTTTGTGTTTTCTAATAAAAGGCTTTTTCTTAATATTTTTTACCATTAATTTTCTAAAAATGCCTATTTTCTTAAATTTACAGCATAAGAATATCTTTTTTCCCCCTCAGAGGTAGCTTCTTAACATGGTCTGTCACAGAATATTTAAGGATCAGAATTCATGATCTTTTGTTTAAAGAGTCTGTAAAATCAATGTGTTTATGAGATTGGCTTTAAGATAATAAGCTGCTAATTATAAACAAATAAACCAATTATTCTCAAGCATGATGTTGAGCCATCATTCCAGTTGCATGTGATTATGACTTTTAGAACTCCCTCTTGCAGTGGTTTCCCTCAACGCTGGTTATTGGGGATCCTTGGAGAATCCATATACTGTTGTAATGCAGTCCCCTAATTTCCCCTCCTTTTTAATTGGTGTCTCAGAATGTCAAAGCAAAAAAAAGCTTTATTTGCTTTAATTTGTCTTCATCCAGTAATTTTTTTCTAGCAACCTCATTTTCAGGCTTCTCAAGTGACTAGAGCATATTCTCCGTCTTGGGTAGGGTCTGATCATTTGTATTTCTAAGTACCAGGTAATGATGTTGCTAGTCTAGGAATAACACTTTGAGAACTGCTGTCATAGCTAGTTCTGATTCTTGTGCATCAGATCCCGAACCTCTGACCTAATTGAGATCATCACTGCAGCAACGGTGCCTTTCATACTAATTTTCCTCTTTATTGGATTATTTCACCACACAAATATGCTTTATTTCTTTCACGTAAGAATGGGGGTGGTACGGATCAAACCCAGGGCATCCATGCATGCACCCACCTCATAGCAAGTGCTGTGTTACCAGCTCCCATTGAAATTCTGACTCTCACCAGAAGCCAGCATGATTTAAAAAAACAAAAAAATCATTACTCAGTTATTTTACTTACTGAAAGCCTAAGTCCTCAGTAAACCCATATGTCCCCACATGATCTCTACTCACTGCTCTTTATCCCTGATCTCCTTTCTCACAATTGTCTCTCACTCACTGCTGGAACACTAGAATATTTAGTATTCTCCTACTGGGAAAACTCCCCAAATAACCTTGTGGCTCTCTACATCCCTTCCTTCAAACCTTTACTCAGAAATAGCCTTGACTGGGCCATTTGAATGAAGGGCAGTGCCCATGGTGTCCTCCATACTTCTAAGGAACTCTTCCTTGAAAGCTTTTTTTTCCTACTTACTAAAACTACACACCCTAGTGTTTATTTTTTTCAAATTTGTCCATTGCCTATATACAACATGCTCCCACTAAAATATAAACTCCAAGAGTGAGAATCTCGTCACTCAAAGTTATCCCAAATGACCAGGATAGTTAAGAGTACTCAGGCTCCTAGCTCATACTGTTTTGGACATACGGCTTCTCAATTCATGTGTTTGTTATGTTTTGTCCTGTTCTGGTTTGCTCTGGTCTCTTCTCCATCACTGATAGAAGTTAAGTGTGAGCTAATATGTATTCAGTACCATCTTTCATCTTGTTTTTTTTGAAGGCAAAGGAAATGGTCCAAGATTCCTGTGCTAAGATATTTAAACGAGAGAAAACATTTAGAAAGAGTTTGACTCTATCAAGAAAAACCCAAAATCCTATTAAAAGTCCCTGTTTAATTTCTGAAGGTAAAAACAACCTCTGCTAGTCTCAAAAGTCTCAACAAAGCCCTCACCATATGCTCTGTAGGACCCCTTCTAAGCCTTGAGGTGCCCTTTCCAAGCAGGATTGGCAGCCAGAGGAAACAGAAGTAAGGACAATGTCTCCTTTCCAATAAGGGACCTTAATGAAGGCAGAAACTAGGTAGACTCTGTGAGGATCTAGGTTGCTTTGTGTAGGAATCCAGGGACATTGTTTTCAGCTTTTGTTGCATCTTTTGTGCTTCTCTCCTTTTGTAGATCTCAGTGAGATGCGCTGTATTTCAGATGCTGTCTAACATGCTGATGATGTAATAAATTATACTCTTCCCTTCGCGGCAGTGGCAGGACACTTGAGCTCACGCGCACACACATACACACAGAGCTATCAGTCAAATCAGGAAAGCAAAGGTAATTCATAAACTAGCTATTCTAACAATGAACCTGTGCTTCCAGGAGGGCATGAGGAAATGCCAGCAAACAGGTTAACTTTGACAACTTGAAGAATAACTCAGGAGCCAAATGAGAATCCAGACCTCTTTAAGGATAGGGTCTTATAGCCTTTAGGAAGTACATTCTGACATACATCCTGACTAACATGATCTCAGGAAGGAATAATTCTGGGAACCTATTTTACTAACAAGGAACAAATGGAGGAGGGGAAGCAGAGGGAGATTAAAGTCAAGGGCAAGCCCACTTTTGCAACACTGAGAAAGTTTGGTACGGAAAAGGCATCTGCTACAACTGTCAGCAAGTAGGACATTAGAGCAAAGAATGTCATGGGACACCAGCTTCTGAAAACATCCTGATCTGTCTAAGCAAAGTGGCTCCTGAAGGAGTACAAAGAGAGCTGGGACCAAGCCGTGAAGGGCAACAAGATGGCTGTGTCCAAGCAGTCACCTCTACAGCTGTCCATGTTGGATGGGAGGAGTCCTAGGTTTGAAGTTTCCTTATTGATAAAGGAGCTATCTTTTATTTTGCATTCTCTAAACCACAAACTTCCAAATCCTGCTCAATGATGGAAATTGACAGTAAAACTGTTAGAGGTAGCCAAATACTATTAGAAGAAATAGCCTAAGTCTGGGGCTCCCAAGAATATTGTAGAGTGACGATGGCAAGGATGACAAGGATACCCAGTCAGTGGACCAGGCACTTGGAATCACCTGTTACTTGCATTCAGCCTGGAGGCCTCCTTAGTCTTCTGGGAAGATGGGAAGAGGCAACTAAGTCCTGAAGAAAACGTTAGTTAGCCAGGTTATGCTAAGAAATTGGAATTGGTATTGTTCATTGCTTTATTGGTGGTAAGGATTGTCCCTAAGGCTAATCTGCATCTCAATCCCTATGAAATGATTACTGGAAGGCTGTTCCTAATGTCTGACTTCCTGGTAGACCCAAACATACATACCTTCATTCAACATAGGACAGGTATAGCTTGATATACAATATAACAATACCATCATATGATCCTCTATCATCTTACCTTCAAGTCTGGAAATTTTGCCCTTGTCAAATTATACAGGGACAAATAGGCCATATCTTAATTTTTCATGCAAAAATAAGAAAAGCTTTAACAATAAAACTTTCTGTTTAATTCAGCTATATTAGCCATGGCTCTCTAATAAATGATTTTGGTGGGATACTAGTGCCATTTCCTTCACACCAATATATGTCCCATCTAACAGGAATGAATGGTGTGTGTGTGTGTGTGTGTGTGTGTGTGTGTGTGTGTGTGTGTGTGTGTGTGTGTACTGGTTCTGGGGCTTGAACTCAGAGCCTGGCTGTTTGTTTGTTTTTTGACGTGGGGCTTGAACTCTGGGCTTGGGCGCTGTCCTTGTGCTCTTCAGCTCAAGGCAAGCGCTCTACCGCTTGAGCCACAGCACCACTTCCGGTTTTCTAGCGGTTTATTGGAGATAAGAGTCTCACGAACTTTCCTGCCCGGGCTGGCTTTGAACTGAAGTCCTCAGATCTCAGCCTCCTAAGTAGCTAGGATTAGAGGAGTGAGCCACTGGTGCCCTGCTCCTGGGTACTACTCTGAGCTTTGTTAAGAGTCTAGTAGAAGCCTGGCACTGGAGGTTCACACCTATAATCGTAGCTACACAGGAGGCTGAGATCTGAGGACTTCAGTTCAAAGCCAGTCTGGGTAGAAAAGTCCATGAGATTCTTATCCTCACTAAATTACCAACACACAGAGCCAGGAGTTGAGCTGTGGCTCAAGTGGTAGAGTGCTAACCTTAAATATTCAATGATAGCTCCGAGGCCCAGAGTTTAAGCTCCAGAACTGACCCAAAAAAAAAAAAAAAATGTCTCATGAACTTCTCTGCTTATCAGGAGCTCAAAGTGGTACCTGCCTCTTCCTCTTGGAAGATGCTGTTCCTGTGCTAACCATC